GATACAAAGCTAATATCCAGCTCTGTAATAATACATCTGGGGGAACTAATGAATGAAACATTTTCATATTTAATCAGTCTCAATGTGCATAGGATATAGCACATTAGAGAGGCCCCTCCCCCACTCTAGACAAAAACGAGCTGGGTTCAATTATTCAGATTATAGCCTGATCTAAATTTTATCTAATGTTTTTCTGCTTCTTGATGCGGAAGAATCTGGGGCTCGGCTCCCTTTGATCAGGAGATGAAGCGGGCGTTCCCTTGATCTTCCAAGCTGTGTAAATGCATCCCAGTGCCGAGAAACCTGACATAAAAACCGAAGCCGCATTCCAGAAGAGCAGCCTCTAAAATCCAAGCTATTGAAAAAAAAAATCCTTAATTACTCTTAAGCGTCGAGTGTGAACTTGAGGAAGGTGTGAGAGGTCAGCCATGACATTCTGCCTGTGTAAAAGTCCCAGGCTAGTTCAAAATCAATGAAAATTCACCACATCGTTATTCTCTGTGGATGTTAGGAGACAACAGACTGGAAAGTAACAGCTACTATGTATATTGCAAACCCTTTGTTTTCCTCTCTCAAAGCTCTAAAGTAGTTTATAGCGTCCTCTACTTACAACAAAGCGAGTCCAAGAACACACTGAGAATCTTATCATCATTTCCTTTGTGCTCGTTTCTGTTCAAATAAATTCCAGATTTGAATATTCGCTAATAGGCTTTATAAACGTTATCCTTTTATATTACAAAAATAAATTCCTAAAATTAGGTGCAAGCAATAGTCTCCAATCATTAGACTTCTTTCTCTCTCAGCCACACAGTCTGTGCTGCGTATGTGTCTCTATATCCAATGATTAGAGTCCAGCAGTTAGTGGACAGAATCGGCTGCAGTGGGGAGAAAGGTCCGGGTGGTTGTTTATCACTCTAATATTTGTGTGTGTGTGTGTGTGGAGGTGTGAGTTGGCTGTAACCGCGTGGGTGCGGGCGTCAATAATCCTGACCCAGGCAGTGGCGGCGGGAGAACGGTTTTACTCAAGCTCTGATCTCAGCATCCTCACCGTACTCAAAGGCATTCCAGGTGTGATCGGGCCATCAGAGTGAGTCATACTCCACAGTTACACAAGCCCTGCTGCCATAGCTGCAGATGTGGTGGGAGCTGCCTCACAGGGAAGCCGGACCCAACAAAAACAAGAACAAACATCCCACAGGGAGAGTTGTTCTGGAATCGATACTGCACATGTGATGAATCCGTTTTTTGTTTGTTTTTTAAACCAAAGGCAAATTTCTCAAAGAATCAGACGGAAGGTAGGAGAGCGTGCGGTGTTGTTTGTGCAGCCGCCCTCTCAGGGTGAGGATTAAAAATGGATGTGATTTAACTGGAGCTGTTTTGTCTGCGGAAAGGTGGGTGGGGGATTTGCGTCTGGGGGAGGATTCACCTCAGGAACCCTGATGGAGGACAGGGAGGTGCTGCGGTCTGCCCTGCAAAGAGAGGGCTGCAGCGGGTTCTGTAGATGTCAACAGCACAACATGACCAGTCTACAGGTGCCTCCGATCCTTCAGGACAATGGAAGCAATGGCCCCCATTCAGTGGGTGACCAGTCCAACTGGGGCGTTTGCTTTGGCTTTGTCGATAAAAAGCTGTCGCACAGCTCTGTGCTGAACCAGCAATCCAATACCAGTGAAAAATGTAATGCAATCTGCGGTCACATTGAAAATTTGACCACAGAAGATTAGAAAAACATACAAACAACGATCTCCGACCCCCATTATCATGCAGCGTAAAGCACATTTCAGAGCTGTGTTTCATTAGATTTTAGGGTCCGTGTAATTACACTCAAAAGAGAGAGAGAAAAAAAAACTGAAATTCAATTTCATTTAAATGTTGAAAGTCATTTACAGCCGAGCATTAATGTGTCATTCAGAAACACGATATGACCAATTAATGAGAAAAGCAGAGTGGTGTGAAGAGTGATGGAGCCCAGGCAGGTGCGGAGGAGAGGACTGTTATCTCAGTTGTCACTTCTGAACCCTTTGCCGTGTATAAAGTGTGACAAACGACTTAAAAGGGGTGGATCTGGATCGGAGACAGAAGCAAACTGACAGGCAGAACTAGTGTTTCAATGAAAATGAGAAGGTAATATCGCAGGCAGATTTGTCTCCTTTCCTTCCAGTGAGGCTCTGGCATCTGGCACAGACACACCTGCTCAGCGTCAGTCTCTAAAATAACACGCTATCAGACAACATCGTCAGACTGTGTGCTGTTTCTGCTGCCCGCTCGGCTGCCCCCGCCCCCCCATGCCCCTGCCCACCCTTGGAGCTTCGCCCTTCAGGAGAGCTGAAGAAAGAGGAATTAGGGCAGGAGGAGGAGCGGCGTGTCCGTGTCTCTGCCGGCGGGACCAGACAGGGGAAGAGCAGAGGGGGGGGGGGACAGAGAGGAGAGCCGCTGGGATGCTGCTGAGTGGTGGAATGGTTTTGGGAGGAGGTGGCGCAGGCTGAAGGAGGATGTTGGGAGGAGAAGGAGCGGCTGACACGGAGCGAGAGTGACTGGCATTCCTCTCCTACCTCTATCAGCAACCACATCCTAATGCACGCTAATCCCTCTGTCAGCCTCTTACCTCACTCAGGCCCATCTCGCCAAACGCAGCGCCGTGACAAAATGGAAGGCTGCTTTAGAATATGCCCTCCATGCTTTGGCCTGGCCAGGCCGGCACTTTGGTGCCCACATATCAGGTCAGCGCCTCCACTGCTGCCCACTCCCCCAAAGCAAGGGGCCCATTCCACATTCACGGGGTGTTCATAAAGATTAAGTTAAGCAATCATTTGCTATGTGAGCAGGAAATGCCGGGGGATTTGAGGATTGTGAGTTAGGGCAGCAGCTAGCGATTACTCCATATTTGTTCATAAACTCTCAGACAACACCCGAAAGTGTCTGGAGCATTAATAAGATACTCAAGCTCATGGACGCCTTTCTATGACGGAACCACGGTCGAAAATCTGAAAACATTTAGGCGACGAATGACACAAATGAGGAAAAAGACAAAACGTGTGAAAATAATAGCTGATTTATACTTCCACAATCAACTACAGGCTTTTCCGACTAATCACTTCACAATATGATAATCCCTGGGTAAGGAAAGCGGCACAGCAGTTGTGCCGGGATTTATGAAGCACTTTGCCACGTTACCCCTAAAATATCCAAATACAACTCAACGTTTTGCTTGCAGAAATGCTCTACTTGTTACTTTTACAGTGGGGCATGTGCTGGAGTCACATTCAATTGATAAGATCTAAATATATATGGTCATGCTTTTGTTCATTTCTTTAAAATATTCCTAAATTAACACTTCTCCCCGTTCAGTTATGCAGTAAAGTCAGCAGATACTTGTTAGATGAGGCAGGTTTCCAGCCTGGACAGGTCACCAGTTCATCACAGGGCAAAACAGAACCAGATTATTTTAAAGGATTACTCTCCAGCATTGGTTAAGTGTTCAATACGAAAGATTGCCCACTTTATTACGGATGAGAGCAAGACTATCCACTTCCTCGGACAAAATGATCAGCAGATCTGTCAGGATTGGATCTCCACATATGCACAAAGTGAAGGCAAGTCAAATGCAATAATACCCTCAATTCACAGCAACCAAAAATGGCTACAGAGATGTTACGTGCCCGTCAGCGATGGCAAAGCCACATGGAAAATAGAAATGAGAGAACAGAGCAGCTGGCCACAGTGAGGCAGGAGACGGGGATGACCAACCAGAAACGCTCAACATCCGCAAAGCGAGCAGAGGCTGCGGGATCAATCCCACCGCCCCGAGTCCCCAAAGCGCCCCTCTTTGTCTCCCTCAAACTGCCCGTAGTCCGAACATATGATGCTCCAACACAACGTAAACACGGCCTTAATACGAGCATGCAGTATATATGAAGCAGGAAGGGGAGGGGAGCGTGTTTTTCCCCTCAGAGATGCCCGTTATTATGCTCAAACTTGATCCTATTCGGGCTTCTTGGGGAAACTCTTACCTTTCCTCCGGGGTCTAACGCCTCGTTGAGGTCGGCGGCTCTGGCAGATATCGGCGTATCTTTTTTCGGTGTTTTTTTTTTGTTTTTTTTTATGTATGCGGGGCTCGGCTCGGCGCTGGGTTCTGGCGGTGAGCCGCCTCCGGTCCCTCCTCTGCGTTAGCTAGCTGCGCTGCCTCCGCTCGGCTTGTGGTGCTGAAGTGGACAGCGCACCGAGGCGCTCCGCGAACAAAAGCCCCCCCACACTGCAGCTCCGCCGGCCGCCGCGGGAACAGCGCCCCCTGTCCGGCCGGCGGAGAAACAGCAGGGTCACATTGAGCCGGGGGAGAGGAGCCCACGTAAGGGCGATCCCCCTGACAAGTTTCAGCCTACAACACGTTTGCCAAAAATCTGGTTCTGAAGTCTTCCATCCATCCATCCATTATCAATACCGTTTATTCCCTAATGGGGTCGCGGGGGGAACTGGAGCCTATCCCAGTGGTCAACGGGCGAGAGGCAGGGTACACCCTGGACAGTCCGCCAGTCCATCGCAGGGCCACACACAGGACATACAAGGACAAACAACCACTCACACTCAAATGCACTCCTAAGGGCAATTTCCCCAATCTCCAATCAACCTAACAAGCAGGTTTTTGGACTGTGGGAGGAAGCCGGAGAACCCGGAGAGAACCCACGCAGACACAGGGAGAACACAGAACTCCACCCAGAAAGGTCCTGGTTCCCCCGGGATTCAAACCCAGAACCCTCTTGCTGGGAGGCGACAGTGCTAACCATCACACCACCGTGCCGCCTATCCTGAAGTCTTATCATTTTAAAATACTCATTACACAGCAGACATTGCCACATCTAAGGGCCAGGAAAGTACAGGTAGAAAGGCCCAAACAAAACAGGTAAATCAATTTCTATTATTCAGTCTGCTGAAACTGGTGGTGTAAACACACAGACACACACACACACACACACAAAGAGGCAAAACAACAAGCCAGCAGAAGTGCTGCATAACTGCATTTAGTAACTGCCTTTACCAATTTTTTTTACACAATATAAAAAATCCAAAGTAATAGCTGTAATCAAAATATGAGACTTATCGAGTAGTAGACATCACACAGAGTGTGTATTACACACTGATCTGATTTTAAGCATCATCACATTTGGGTCCCTTTATTCTTGATCTGGATAGAATACGATGTTATTGTTGTAGGGTGTGTTTTATTGGAAATGCTTATGAATTATTCACTATTAACGGCCTTCAAGCTGAGCTTTGAGCCCGTCTTGTAGTGGTTTCTGTTTTTTTTCTGCAAAGGTCAGTCTTTTCATCACAGGTCCAACAAGTGTGCATACTACTGCTGAGAGGTTGTGTGTAGGGAGCGGTCCACGGCAGCGGTGGGGTCCTCCTGGGTGACGGCGAATGTGGCCTGCTCCGGCAGCAGGCTGGGGTCTGTCAGGATGGCAGTGGTGGTACTTAAGAGACGGAGTGAGCTCAGAACCACTGAAGGAACACACACGACAATAAAAACACGACAAAGCTTGGGTTACTGCGAGTGTGACAGGAGGACGGGGGTGGGGGGTGCGTTCCACTCACTGGGCCTCAGCGCAGGCAGGGCGCAGTGCTGGTCCAGCCAAGACAGCGTGGAGCGACACAGGTCCTCCACACTGGCAGTGGACACCATCCCATTATAGGACTCAAACAGCGGCTCAATGATGATACTGAACTGACACTGAGTTAGGGAGGGAATAGTTTCTTGTATGTGGAGAAGAAAGTCGGCATTGGATGTAAACCCATTTCCCAAAAATGTTTGGAACTGAATTAAAACTTGACTAAAATGACTTGTGACTTTTAACCAGCTAAAACCCACACTTAAAATACAAATCTGCACAGATAATCTGTCTGGAAATGTAACATATACTCTAGGAGCTTTACACTTTACACAGTTTATTTACATAAAAAAAAAGGCTCAGAAGCAAAACTTCAGTTCCTCTACTGATTAGTGATAACCTAAAATGGAACCTAAAATTTGATCAAACACTTTACTGTGGTTTGGTTTTCAATCGCATTTTTCTTCTCAAAGCCCCTTAAACTGAAATGTTTCGATGACGCTTTGGCAGATTCATAAGGATACGATCCAGAACTTCCAGTTTTGCAGAGTCTGGGCCCGGACGTACTCTCTGAACTTCTGCCTCATGTAGTCGAAGCGTTGCCGTGTGATGGGCACTCCGGTGGCCGGGAGCTGCTGCTGGCAAGCACTGTGTGAAGAGGCGTGAGGCAAAGAGAGGACGTGCGTGTCATTTTTTGCTAAAAGGGCTAAAAGTTCAACTGTGTCTCAGAGGCTGGGGGTGGTTAAAGGTCTCACTTGATGGTAGAGTTCAGGTGCTGGATCTCCTCTCTGAGTCGCTGAGCCTCCTCGTGCAGCTGAGCCCTCTCCTGCTGCATTTTACTGATGTACTCGGCAGTCTTCTGCAGGGTGGTGGCTTTGCTGATCTGAACCAGCACACAAAGAGAAAACAACATGTCATAATAATTATTAACAAATCCTCAACATCAAAGCGCCTTTATTCCCTACAACCCGTTTCTTCAGTTGAATTTTTAAGGCGTACAGTGCCGTTTTTCAGCTGAGCTCTGCAGGCTCTTTGATGCTCACCGCCTCCACCTTTCAGCACATTTATCTGTAATGCAGCTGAACGTCTCGGAACATTACCTTTATGCTTGGCTGAGAGCTGAGTGTTGTCACAAGGTTATGTAAAGTGTCAAATCCCAGTTTGATGTTAAAACGCCTCTTCTGCTCCGCCGAGATGTGCGTTATCCTCCTGCTCTCTGTTTGCTGCTGACAGCACGGTCCAGGAGCATGCACACAGATCACAGCTCACGCATCAGATGAGTCCGTCACATTTTTGTCACTCCACAAAGATTGTATTATACCGATATCTAAAAGTTTGACCTACCTTACTTGATTCTGTCTTTGCGTGTCCTGAGAAGCCTGACTGTGGAGACTCAGGGTTCAGTGTTTTCTCAGCGGGGTTCGGTGGAGATGTTTGGCTGTGTGTTGCAAAATGAACTAAAAGAAAAAAAAAAACATAATTGATCAACCTGACTTAGACATATTTAAGTCTATAAATCCTAAATAAACTTGATGAAGAATCATGATGCATGGTAAAAAATCTGTTAAATCATTAGATAAATATTTCTGCTGATGTACTCCCTTCCTGATTGACTCGTTCGTTCTATTACATTTTACTACACTTTGACATCTTCCGTGCTACAGAAACTAAATAATGAATGGAGTTTATTATGCTTCTTAATCTCTGACTCACCTACCCAGTAAACATCTGTATTTGAACTGTAATTTAGGCGGTCTTATGTTTATATCGTTCTATTGATCAGCTTAATCAACATGTGATAAAGGTGATATGCACGTCACAGCATACTGTTCAGGCTGCTCCTGTCCGTGGCGTAGAGCTGGACAGGTGAAAGTTTCTCGGTTTTTGGAACGAGGAGGGTCGTGCTGGGGTGCGTGGGACCGTGGGAGAGTAGGGAAGACACCGATGGGCCTCTGGCCGAGCTGGGGTGGTCTGTGCTGTGACGCAGGGGGGCGCTCTGGCCCGGCAGGGGAGTTAATATCGCAGGCCATCCGGCTCTGTGCTGCAGCTTGGAGGACGCTCCACCAACGCCGCTCGTCTGCTGAACAAATGGTTCATTTACCCCCCAGATCAAACATGCCACTTTGATGTTGTTCAAGGAAATCCAAGCACCCCAGAAAATTCATCTGATTTTATTCTATTCATTTACCTTTTATCAGGATCAACAGAATCCTTAAAAAGGAAGCTAAACATATAGCTAATTTAATACCAGATAAGATGGTGTTTTCAATACAGTCAACAAACAGCAAGCATGGGTTTGTGGGAGCTGCGGAAGCGGAAGAATTTGTATCTTGTAACTAATAATAATACAATTCAGATGGTATCACAGATGGTCTGCTACGGCAAATGTGAAAAAATAACATAACTCTCTCCACAAGCTGATTTGTAAAGAACTTGCTGTTTCCTTTCTGTTTCTCCTACTAAGCTTAATTAAACTAACCTAAGATGAGGTCAAATAAGCCAAGCTAAGCCAATAGTCTTATACTGGATTAGCTTAAAATTGATTTTCTTTTAATATACAACAGATATTTTACCTATTAGAAAATTGTTTAGGCCGGGCTCATAACTTCTTAGACTGACAGTTAGCCAAAGCTCTTCAAATGGACTGTTCCCAAATAAATACTGCAATTACTCCCAACGCAACATTTGCATTTTACTTTTTGGCTTCCGTGTAAAAAGAATACAATATGTAACAGATGTTAGCAAGCAAACTGATAAACCGAGTAGACAGTCCAACTACTCTGATATAAATGCTAAGCTATCCTAACTAGCTAATATTTGTAGCTTAATTTCCAATGCAAAGACCTTTTCTAAAAAATGTTTTCATGTTTTAAAATCTTTAAACAAAGTAATGAAGTATAAGCACTGATATCAATTTCATAAAAAGCTCACCAGAGAACTCTTAGATGTCGACCTCTGACCTTTGGCTGTCACCGGGGTTGTATCGTTAAATCCAAGCGCTGCCTTTCCTGAAACCATCACAGATAAAATAAACTATTTTTTTTCCGGGTCACTAATTGGTGGAGAAGATGAGGCATACGTCTGCAATGACTCACGTTCGTGGGGGCCCGAGGAGAGAAGTTTGGCCAGGCAGCTGGTGGGCATGGGGGCAGCGGACGGGGGACCGGGCGGTACAGCAGAGGGGCCAGCTGTCTTCACTCCCCCCGTCTTTTGCTTGTGCTTCCCCTTCACCCCCGAAATGGCCACCAGCTCGGGCACTGAGAAGCAGTGGGCGGACGAGGCGGACGGAAGTGCCGCGTGAGCCGGGTGGGACGTGGAGGCGGGGTAACTCAGAGGCTGAGAGTGGCTCTGGGAGTATGAGTCTCCCTCGAGGGGGTAGCCCAGAGGCTGGTGCGCGGCCCCCTGACCGCTGGCGGTGGAGGCGGTGTGGGTGATGACAGTGGAGGTCACGCCGGCCGTTGTGTCGTAGCCAAACTTGTGGCACGGCAGCTGATGCGGAAAAGGAATACTTGACGGCGGCCGATCTGCGTTGCTGTTAAACGCTATAGAAACCGCCGTGTCATGGTAAGCCTGGTGGCCGTAAGGCATGGATTCTGACACCATGCTGGACGTGTTAAATTCTCTGCAATCCCTGCCCGGCCTGGTCTGGTCTGGGTGAGTGTTGGATGTGGTCGGCTGTGGCAAATTATGAGAGGGCATTTAATGATCAGAGGCCTGATCAGTACAGATTGAATTTGCCTAATTCATTAACAATTACACAAGTTTCTGATAAAAAAAAAAGTTGAACATTATTACCTGATTCAGCTGGGTGTCCATGAGGAGTTGAGGAGCTGTCACCACGGGGGAGGGACCTGGAGCAAAGACGGTGCTGGATGAACCCGAAAAATAGCCACACTCAAGAAATCCAGTCTGCTCAGTGGGCTGGCCCTGATAGTTCAGAAAAATATCTGTAAAAAAACACATGCAATTTGTTAATGTGGCAGTCACTTAAAAAGACAGCTGGCAATAGTGTCAAATATTCTCCAAAACAGATAAATCAACCGAATTTGATATTTAGGAATGTTCAAAATTAAAAGGGTAAATGTTATGCTTATGCTTTCACAGATGTTTCTTATTATAACAGGATGCATACAAGTGGAACAGTGCTCTCTTGTGGAAAAACTACAGAAATGTTGACACCTGTTGCCTGCATACAGCAAGAATTGTATAGAACGATGGCTGATGCCTGTTCTACTTCAAGTTCTGTTGATGGGCGCCTCAGTGCTCCAGATGAGCAAACTGACCACACGTCAGAGTCGCTCACACTTATTGATGATCATCCAATCAAGTGCATCTGATTAGATTGGTTGCAAATATATCAGAGATCTAAAAACCAACGCTGTGAAACTATGAGGTGCTGTTTGCCATCAAGGAGGAAACCTGAAAAGTGATATTGCCACCAGATTTTTCTCTTTCATTCTCTCTTTGTTTCATGAATGCAAATAAGTACCGGTATAACCTCTAAAACAATGATCCATATAAGTAATAATTGACAAACCCAACCGTTAGATCTCACCAGCAGAAAAACAGGAAACACAGACGGAGGAATGGGTCAAAAGTACCTGGTATATCCATGAAATCCTCCAGGTTGGGCTGTAGGGGTGTTAGACCCGGCTGAATGATGTCTGCATTGCTGGTGTAGGCTGAGGGGAAAGAGGACATTGAAATGTGATAGCCCATTAAAAAGGAATTTCCTTATTTCCAGGGTAGCAATGGCTGAGCCAAAAGAATAAACACATTTTAATTGGAGCCGTGAGGGTCTTAGATCGTTCCCTTTGAAAAGGTTGGACCATTGAAAAGGTTGGACTATTGAAAACCTGATTGTGTTGTAAATATTGTTGAAACACAGCCTATCTATTACTGATTTTTTTTTATTTAAATCCACTGAACTAATATAATAAGTTCTGATAATCGTAGGATTAAAAGACAAAACAAATGTCAATATTAATATTTATTTTCAGTTAATCCTTTGAGTTGTTTTAAAGCTTTTTGTGGAAAAACTGACTGCATTTGAGATAAAAGCTGAATATCATCCTGAAAACCTAGAAAGTGGACGCCTCACTGTTGTGCCGGTCCCCGGTCCAGGGACAGGGTTTCTGTGTCATGGTGAACAGGGTGTCGGAGATGTCAGACAGAAGGCAGTCCAGGTCAAACATGTGGGCCTCCATCGGGGCCGTCTCTGGCTCCTGGTAAATGTGATGGGAGCGTTTTTCCAGCTTAGCTTGGCTGATCTGACCCTGAAACACATCAACCAGCATTAATAAAACCTAAAAGACCACTGAAAGCTTTTGGTTCTCGAGTCTCTGGCGTGTCCCCATGTGCAGCATGCTGTTTGGCAGAAACTGTAGAACACATCCATGTTGCCTTTCGCTGCACTGAGAAACAAGACTTCCCGCTAGAACTGTGAGAAATCAGTGAATCACGGTAGAGTGAAGACATAGAAACCCAAATATTTAGGAGAAATTATCAACATCAACTTACACCAGGTCAAAACGCATGATATGGAGCCAGATAGAAACAACCTACAGCACTAACCGTTCTCTCCAGTAAACCGGTTAAAAAACACACCAGGTCTTTCCTCCATGTAAAAGCAGCTTTGTTTCCACCTGAGATTCTTCGGCGTTTTATCCCTCCTCTCTCGGTCGAAGCTCGCCCTTTATAGGGAAGCCCAGTTTGGGCCGGAAACGGTTGTGATTACGTCTGAGCAGACGACATCCCCTCCTACAAGATTGCTGCGTTTGCATCTGTGCGTACGTGCAGTCCATTATGACCAAGCGGTTTTTGACAAAACACAAGCCCCCTTACAGGTTCTCATTATTTGGCTTTATTTTGATGTCTCACAATTTCAATAAGAGGGGCAGCCTTTTGTCCCTGACCTAATTCTGGGAGTCTCACATGCACGTGCATACAAACAGGAAAACCTGAGGCCACAGCTAGTATGAACTGCCCTCACACATGAGCAAAAAAAACAACTCACCTATAAGTCCTAAAATTGCTCACTTCCTATTGTATTTGCATTTTTGGAAGAATTCCCTTCGATTGGACAGCACACTCAATCTATGTTAGTGTCAAATGCTGAAAGTAGGTAGAAAGAGAGCATAAAGAGGACACAGGGTCTAAATGTGAGTCGTTTCTATCTGTACAATAAACACAGTTTCTATGCTAAGTTAAAGTTCAAAGCTGATTAGCTTGATTCTACCTTCTAAGACCTCATAAATGGCTGCATCGCATTCGAAATTCAGTCAAATTCAGAGGACTGTTAGATGGATTTGGGATTTAGGAGGATGCCTGTCTGTACGAAGCGCCAAAGCAGCTTCTTCAGCGAATCATACGGTGTTACAGACTCAATCAAAATGGTTGCATCACTTGAGCCAAACTGTTTGTTTGCTCAAAGATCCATGGAAATATTCCATCATCGTCAAAGTCCTGACTCCTCCTGGGTTTTGCTGCCAACTCTTTCATGATCCGATTCTGTTGCCTCAACTTCACTTTGCTGGAGCTCAGGTGAAGAACAGAATATCTTGTGTGGAACTTGAACCCAGAGAACAACTCTGTTCCACTACAGTTCCTGTTAGGAACGTATGTGATCCCTCTGAACTGAGAGGATGTTTCGAGAATATTCAGGAAGGTTCAGCTTTACTTTTGTGTTGCATCATCTTCTCTTTTCATAACATTCTGTGAGGCAAATGCTCAATATTCTCTAAGTCAGTTTTCTGAGTCCATTTATTTTGTGTTTATCGTACTGTATCATGACGCCTAAAATGTTTTCCGTATTACCTGATGTTCAGCTTAATCAGCCAGCCAATCAGGGAGAACATGGACCGACGTCACCGACGGCCTGGTGTAACATTGACTTTGGAGGATCATTAACCTGGAGCTGCATGTTCATCAAAAGTCCAATAGATGGCCTCCTAACAGCAAACATCTGTTTGTTTGGCCTGGTTATTATTTTTTTTTTCACAATAAAGTTGGTGAGTATATACATATGAAATCAGTTGTGCTCATTCAGAGATAGAGTGAAGAAGAGCTACTAATAAACACCTGTTCTGTTATTTGTTATAGGAAATATTTAACCGTTTCACTGATAATAAAGGAAGAAAATAAAAAGAGCAAAAAAAGTACTTGTTTTTTGGTATCACTAATGTTATAACTTTTAACATCTTTAACAGCATCTGTCCACAATATCACTCAGAATCCTTGGTAGCCCTGCTAAAAATGTGAACTGTATTCTAACTATATACAGAAATAATCCTGTACTTAAAAGAATGCACAATCAAATTTCCCAGTTAACCATGTTAAACTGGGAGATTTGATAAATTATGTTTACACTGTTACCTTACCTGCACTTATATTATAGAATATAAGGACAGCCCCCAATTCACTTTCAGAGAATTTGACTAAAAACTGAGATAACAGACTTGGTTTAACTGAGTGTTTCTCCGGCTAGTGTACCTTGTTATGTGGGAGGCCAGATAAGGATCATGGCAGCGTGGAGCATAACAACCCGGTTTAGTGATCTTTGACCTGTCCGCTGTAAAATGTGCCCTTTGAAGTGCCGCATGAAGCAAGCCTGAGCAGACAGCAGCCATCAGTGTTAAATATAAGCCTGCAAAGCTAACATTTCTGCCTCCCGTGTAGCTCTCAGTTTAACGCTGTCGTGTGAGTATTGTAAACAAAGAGGATTTTCACAAGTCCTTCTGTAAATCTTTTGTTTCACTCACAAACGAACCGAGGCCTCTGCGGGAAGACACTTCACAAAATGCTACTGGAAGTGGGTCAGATTTGGTTAAATTATAGAAAATCTTGCCGCTATTTCCCTTGAATAATGAGAAAAAAGCAAAAGAGCTAGAGTTATTGTCTCTTCCAGCCAACAATGTGTGTCAACTGCCTACAAATGTCAGGCTGTGACGCACAACTGGAGTTGCTTTGTTGTTGTTTTTCTTCATCTTCTTCTCTTTTCCTGACACGTTCACATACTAAAAATAGCCCCTCGGGGACTTTAATGTCCTCATGTTGACTCAGATTCATTCAAATGTGAATAATGTTAGAGTGTCACTAACCCACAAAAGAGGGCTGGGTCATTCTACCGGCCTCAGCCTCCAAAAGTCAACATCAATATTACTCTAACCTACAGAAACAAGAGACTGGAAGAGCTCCTTTCACTTACCTCTTGCAGCATTGATAGAATATCATCCTTCTTTTTCTGAAGCTGCAGAAGAAAAAAAAAGAGAAATTGAGACCTTTTATTTTTCAATCAAAAAGACTGCAGTCATAAATACAGACAAATTGAGGCAGGGTTTAAAAACGGAGTCTTTTTCGAAATGTGGTTCCCTTCAGTGGCTCATTTCTAAAGGGTCAAATTAATATCACCAAAAATAAAATATGTGCTTGAGGTCCAGAAGCCGCGGATCTTTTTTCCTTTATTATTATTTCTGCTTTTTGTGGTTGAAAAGGTGGCTCACGGCTCAGTGTGCCTGTGGGAAGGCATTCCTGCTTCATCAGAAATCTGCTGCCTTGTTTTGTGGAATAATTTGGGTCATTTTCCCATTGAAATTGGCTGGATGCTATCCCAGCTGTCACTGGGGAGAGGCAGGCTGGACCCTGGACGGGTCACCGGTCCGTCGCCAGGCAACGCAAAGCAGACGGACATGCACACCGACTCCTACAGGCCAAGTTTCTCCTCTTAGCCCAACATGTATGTTTGTTGGACGCCGGGAGGAAGTGGGCACGCATACACAGAGAGAACATGCAAACACCACATAGTAAGGCCCCCAGCCTGGATTCAAACCGACAACCCTCTGGCCCCACGGTGCATATCTGGATACCCCCACTGCAGAGTGAATCCATGTGAACTTTCCGCTGTCATATCACTGATAAACATTTGTGACCGGTTGGAAGTCATTCTTATCCATGTAATCGCCCTGTGCTCATGTGTTGTACAGGATGTTTCATACTTGGGACCAACAGCCAGTTTTTGTTGTCGTTCTGGCTAAGGTTGACCTTCGTTTAATCTCTCTAAAGCATGATGTTCCGCAAGTGCTGTGGCTTCTTAAGAGGATCTTATCTGGTGATTTAGCCTCTTCTAAAGCGCTTACCATCCTTCTGATGGATCAGCTTTGTCTTTGCAGCGTCAGCCTTTTTTTGACTTGCTTTGAGAAATCCTCAAATCACCTGCGACTTACTCAGAGGAGCCGCCTCCGTGTGCTAATGCCATATTAGGAGCAAACTCCACATGTGTTACTGCCTAAATGAAAGTTTTATGGTGACTGAATCGATTGCACCGGCACACGAAACGCCTTTTGAAATCAGCCACATAGAAAAACTCCCCACAATAAAAGAAAAACAAAACATATTCAAATATCCTTCTTTGAATTTGGATGCGAATATTGTTGACTGAAAGCTTCATATATGCTGCAGACCCAGGTCCACCAGATTTGTGTTGATTCAATATCACTGAAGTTGTAAAAGATGAAAAATAAAAAAACACGCCTGTTAAAAAATGTCCAGAATCAGTCCAGACTGAATAAGTAATCTGTGAAAGATGAGCTCTCACCCTCTTCTTGTAGTAAATCCTCCACTTGTGGTACTCCTTGATGACCACTTCAATCCTTCTTTTCCAGTAGCTGCCTTCTAAAATTATGGCCTGTCAATACAACAGGAAAACAGTTGAAACTCTTGGTAGAGAAGACATCATTTTTTCACTACAGCCCTTTGTTAAATCACTCACTTCGGGCTTTCGGTGAGCCTCGGCCTCCGAGCCCTCCAGCGGGGTGACGAACCCACACACTGGGTTCTTCCTTTTCTCCACATCTGAGCGCAGACGACACAGAGCAACAGCATCAGCGCATTTGCAGCTGCGGAGAGCTACACTCACAGTTGTGTGTGGATGTGGACAATCCCGGTTTCCAAAAAAAGTTGGGACATTGAGTTAAATGCAGATCAAAAGCAGAGTGGAGTGACTTACAAAGCTGTTAAGCCAACATTTAGTTTTACACCAGATCATGAAAAAGCTGAAGTGAGACTAATCGTGGCGCCATTTCCCACCAGCTCAAATTACAAGGGCTAGAAATACTTAAAAACAGACCCGATTCTGTCCAGGAAATTACTGAAATGAATGCTATGAATTTCCCATTAAGATGAAAGAACTCTCCTTCTGAGGATTTGGGAATTTCAAATCCCAATGAAATTTCTGGAAAACAATCCAAACCCACATACTGCATTAATTATAGCAGTGTTTCTAAATCCTGGTCCTCAGGGCCCACAGTCCTGCCAGTTTTCCTTGTTTCCCAGCTCCAGCACACCTGTTTCAGTGTCCCCATCGGCCCTGTGCAGGGCTTGAGGAGCTGGAGCTCCATGCAAAACTCAGAAAGCATGCAGGACTGTGGAACCTGAGGAGCACGGCCGGGAAACACTGTTAGAATCAGGTCCTGCCTACAGCTCATACCTAACTGAAACAAAAGTAGATCCAGTTATGTTATAAAGCTATAATCTTATATCAGAATAGAATGGGACATTGTTTCTGTTCCAGGTGAGGTGAAGCAACTATCAGCTTCCAGATTAAATTTTGGGTTAAGACACTCTCTAATCATTACCTTCAGGTTTAATTTACATCTAACACAATGTCCCAACCTTTTCATTTTTCTAAGTGGAATGAGACGTCTCTGGAATTCATTCTTGAGGTGAGTAGAGGTGGACTTACACTGAATGAACCAAGCTCTCCAGATTGCATTGTTCAGACGGATCTTATCCCTCCAGAGCAACCGCAGACCTTTGAAAGACTTCCATTTGGGGGAGACCAGCTTACCGCTGTAGAGAAAAGAAAGAAAAAGCTGAACATGCACATGGCGGAAATGTGTAAGAGGGGTGTAGGAGGGACTGCTTTACAGAGAAAGTGGTTTTCAGAGAAACATTCGGCCTGCTGGGAACCTGTCCTGGTTTTGACTAATTGTGCTCCATTAGCTTTCTTTCCAGTGCACCAGCAGGCTGTTTGCACCTTTAGCTAACATCCCCTGATCAGCCGGGAGCAGACAGGAGCGCTCTTAATGTTAGGCGCAATGGGAGTTGCTAGGAAGCCATCTGAATCCTCTTGAGCATGCTTTTAATGGAGTAACATGGCAGCATGTCAGTCTCAAACAGCCAAGACATCTTTCCAATAACTCCGTAGAAGAGCCAGTCCCTCCTGGTTAACGGAAAATTACATTTGAAAAAAAAAAATCCATTGTTAAAAGCTAATTTTGCTGGTAATCCGCACCAAAAAAAGCCAGCGTTGTTGTTTCAGGGGTGTCTCCTCTTTCCCCTCAGTTATGCTGTAATCTCTCCCCTCCTGCCAACTAAAATCAAAGTCCAGTTTTTTTGTGAAGTTTTCAAAGCTGTTGCACAACACACACGCACACTCATGGCAACAGGCTCCGTTATCAGTCCCAAGTGGGAGATCTGTTAGGAAACCTTTGCAGACAGTGTCCAGTCTGCGGCCGTTTGAGGCTCTTAGAGAAAAGTAGTGACCAAAAATAGAGGGTGGACACAGCAAATGCAAGTATTTTTAAACAATTCTACTTCTGGAGTTGCAGCATTAATGAGAGCAAACATGCACAATCATATATATATATATATCAATATATATGTGTGTGTGTGTGTGTGTAAGAAGGAGGGGGCAGAGAGTTGTGTCTGCCCCTTCCCAGGTGGAGCAGCAGCGCGTGCCCACCTGTAGGCCAGGGACATGCACTCGAACAGGCGGGTGAGCGTGGGGTCGATGCTGAGGCTGGCGGAGCTCCGGGGCCCGTACCGGTACGTCTGGCACCAGGTCCGGTTCACCGTGTCGAAGTCGTAGCGCAGCGAGCCGCCGCTCCGCCGCCGGCGGGCCGCAGAGTCGCTGTGGGGCGAGGACACCATGAAGTGTCCGCTGTGGATGACCTGGGCGCTGGTCAGGGGGGCCCGCGGGGCTCTGAGCCGGGCCGCCGGACCCCCCTCCGGCTCAGAGTCCGACTCCGAGGAGTCCCGCCGCGGGCCGGTCGGGGCCGGACAGCCTCCCCCTTTGCCGGCCATGGAGCGCTCTCTTTCGCCGGTGGCTTCTGAACTTTCTCCTCAGCTGACTCCCCCCCCCACCCCCCCCCCTCCCCCCCCCCCCCCCCTCCCCGGTTTTGCTAATATTACCTCGAGCTGCTTCGCAGTTGCAGAGCAGCCTCTTCTCTCCGGACACACCATCACTGTGTCAACTTCCTGCGGGGTAAAATTCTCCAGCCAAAGCACCGAGGAAGCTAATTATTAATAGACCAGAGCCTCCAGATGACAGCCATTATGGATTATTATTAGAACATGTGGAAACACCATCACATCTGTAGGTGTTTGCAGCACGTCTTGGTTGTTTTGGGTGATTTCTTAACTGTCAATGTACTTCTCACTTTGAGTTGTTGATCATGAAGTCACTTTTTAAACAGTGTATTTTATCTGATTAAAGTTCTACCCATAATAGGAGATTATTCCATGTCCATCCTGATCTTTGTCCCACAGTGTTTTAGACTCAGAATCTTCCTGCTAATCATCTGCAAAGCACTTTGGTTACGTTTGATAAGACGGAGAGGAGCAAAACAGAGTTTGAAGAGTGGAAACCCTTTAGAGATTTCCCTCAACCAGTTTGACTTCATATCTGGTGCGTGCTGGCTATAGGCAAAGATTTAGATAAAAAATGCTCCTATTGAGGCCCTTTTCTGAACTTCCAAGTTCTTATTTTCACACAGGTCTACAGCAAAGAAAGCAGCGATGACCATATTTGAGAGGCCACAATCTGGATAATAAAGAGTAAAAAAGAAGAGCGGATTTTCCATTCTGGTACCAAACTTTTATTGGACAGACTTCCCACCATCAGTAACCACGGTCAAACGGGGTAACACAGACTCTCTGCTGCCTGTCAGATTCAGGGCTTGTGACGCCACCCAACCGACAGCTCTCACAAACACACCCACCCTTCTTGATCATTGACAATAGTTGGGGAGCGTCCACAGAAGCGGAGACATCCACAGCCGGGTCGCGGACCGGAGCTGAAGATGGCTTCAGCACATCATGGCTGATTTTCGTATACATTTAAACTATTTGTGTTAAGTTACAGAAAAATAAACAGAAGAGGAAAAAGTCTCTTGTGGCAGCTGCTGCTGAACGTCACACCAGAGCAGCTTTATGTGTGCTGTTGGTGCTCCACTCAGATAGAATCTCCACCTTTACCAGGAAAAGGGACGGGCTCATTTACGCTCGTCCTTAGTTGCATTTCACAAAGCCTTGGAGATCTTCCAGAAACTTGATGTACTCTTGATGCTCGATGGCCGTGCTCAGCTCCATGAGCTCGTCGGCAAAGGTGTTGTCCACCCCGCGGTCAGCCAGGAAGTCCATCAGGTGGTCGTACAGCGCCTGGGGGAGAAAAGCGGGTCAGTCCTCGGCCTCCCGCCTGCCAAGTCGGCTCCTGTGGCTTCCTACCCAGTCCAGAGAGTCTGTGTTGAGCGTGTAGGCGGTCTCCTTCCACTCGGAGTCTCCCTCCGGCTGGAAGCTGACCTCCCGGATGGCGAAGATGTCGCTCTCCTCCTCGCCCTCGCCGCGGCTCATCTGCAACACACGCGTTCAGCTGGCTGAGCACCGGCAGCCGGCTCAGACAAAAGCTGCCCGTTTTTACAGGCCCGTTTTTACCTCGTCTTCAGGATAGTGGCAGTCAAACACCAGGGAATGTTTGGCGCCCTGCTTCGTTACTTCCACCACAAAGTTGGGTGTGGACACGATTTCTGGCTGCAAATGGAAACAGAATTGCATGCGGTTCAACACTCAGAGCTCAGATTTTAAATCTGGACTCACGGTTCAGTCTAATCTGAGAGCTGGGGGACTCACCTCCTCCTCTGCGGACTTCTGCTGCTGTCCCTGCTCCGCCTCCTCCTCAAAGTCAGGAGGGATGCTGTTGTTGACATTGAATGTGACGGCAATCCTGTGAAAGGAAGAAAATAAGACGGTGAGCGAGCTCGCCGCACCAGCTCGTCCGCGAAAAAAGAAAAAGAAAAACCCACCGCGGCTGCCTTACTTTTCTCCAGAGACACTTCTCGTGAGTTTGGCCTCTGCGCCGGTCATCTCCAGCTCCCATCCTCCCGACATCTTAGGAAGAGTTTTATTCTTCTGGATCTTTTTCTCCTCTTTGATTTCGTCAGACAGAAAGTCGCCAAACGCTTTGTCACCTGTTCGCAAAGAAATGCCAAACAAGTTTATCCAGCTATTCATTCACATTATTGTGAGTTTTCACACTCGAGGACGCTTTTTTTGTTTTGCTTTATAAACAGATGTGGCAGAGAATTATTGGGATTAATAGCTGCTTTATTAATCATAACCTCTGAACTACCTGTAAAGACATTTTTGTTTACACTTTCATTTCTATATCTATACACAATGAAAAGGCCAAATGATTACATTCATATGTGCTGATCTTTTATTAAATAAAAAACACCATAAAATTGTAATGATTTTAAAAACACACAAGATCTAGTAATCATTTACTTTCTAGATCTTACAGTCAGGTCTTTTTGGCCTTGTGCTTAAGTATTCTGAGCACAAATTAGACCAGATTTCCATTCAAAGTGTTAATTCATGTTCCTCAAGGTTAAAACCAGCTTCTCACAGCATGAGGATGCTGTCTGCCTACTCAGAGCCAGCCTGCGTGCTTTGACACATGTGCGGCCGGGACGATAGAGGCTTTTAAGCAAGTCGGGTGACCGTGAAAAGAATCAAAGTTACCTTCTGTGTGTAGCGCTCCACAGCCGCACGACACCGACGGGTTCAGCCCCTTCGAGCCGAACAGCTTGGGCCTGTATCCCGACGAAGCTCTGTTGCTGTTCATCATCCACAGGGACCGGGTGAAGGGCCGGGTCGTGGCCGAGCTGGGCACGCGCAGCGCCGGGCAGATGGGCGGCAGGGCTCGCGCTGTGGCGGCGGCGGCCGAGGGGAGCCGGACGGCGGCGCCCACCGCGCGGACCACGGACTTTAGCATGACTCTGTTCAAATACCAAGCGGTGCGAAGCTGAAACGACTTGGTTTAGCGCGACGACAGACGCCGTAAGCTCCACCGGCACCGCTGTTTCTAGAAGATACAGACAGCACGTGGGAAAGGACACATTGACCTAGCGTAACTATGACCTCTGAACCGGAAGTGATACTTCAGAGAGAAATACACTCAATGTATCCGATAAATGAGCATTACTTAAATAAATATTAGACGGGAAAACGTTGGTACAATAGGCAGGGAGTGTAAAACCTACCCACATTTATCAAATAATTTTTTCTGAAGTATAAATTATGAACGTCAGCAGCGCTCCTTGTGGCTACAGCTAACATGCATCGTTATGTGAGGATTTATGCCCTCAGTAAAGTCTGAAAATTATTATTTTTTATTTATTTATCGTGCATAAAAAGCAAAACTAACATCCCCACACAAAGAGACAGATAACTAAATAAGACATTAATCATCACAACAAAGCCAGACGGACAAAGTCGATCTGAATAGGTGTAGAAGTTCCAGAGGCTTTCTGCTACATTCATCACTGACATAAAATGAACACAAACTGCTGGCTTACAGAGGTTGTGTACAATCTGGAGGACAGTGTTACATCAGTTGAAAGTTTCAGCGTCAGGAGGGGAAACAGTTGCGTCATTTTGAAATGTATTCCTCGAGTCCACCAGAAGATGGCGCTGTTTGATACATTTAAACATGTTCTGATTAGTGTTGCCAACTCAGCGACTTTGTCGCTATATTTAGCGACTTTTCAGACCCCTCCAGCGACTCTTTTTCGAAAAAGCGACTAGCGACAAATCTGGCGACTTTTCCGGTGTCACTGGCGGCTTTTGGAGACTCTTATGTGAAAGCACGTATCGTTCATAATCTTGTCCTCCAGCGGCAGCTGCTGCCGTGGGGCGCCTCCCCCCTCCCAACCCCGTTCTCCCGCTCCAGCAGGAGTCCCTCTCAGCGCTGCAGTCAGAGGCACCTGTTAGTTTTCGCGCCCATCCCCCGTCTCAGTGAGTTCTAGAATAATTTTATCTTTATCCAGCCAATCAGCAAAGATCACCCTACATTATAGGTTACTTTGTTTTGTAGTTTAAGATATTTGGTTGAATCTGCTTTAGTTTAGATTCTCATTGGTTTGTTTTTAGTCATGTGACTTGTTTTTAGTCATCTGACAAAAACAAGGAAGTGGGCGGGCTACCGCGATACCGCGGTAAAAGACGAAAAACGGAAAACCGGGAATACCGGGAAAACCGGGGAATATCGGGGAAAACGGCCACCGGGGGAGGGGGGCCGGGGCTCCCCAGAGGGGAGACCCGGACCCCCGACCCCGGTTCGATATCACTGTCAGAGTAGACCCGCACCGAATCCCGGTATCGCAGGAGCCCTAGGACGCAGTAGCCCGGTAGCCCCCCCTCCGGCCCCGGTAGCCCGGTTGCCCGGTAGCGCGGTTGCCCGGTAGCCCCCCCCTCCGGCTCCTTACTTTGTTCGTGCGTTGCAGTGAGAGTCCGCCATCTTGCCATTTGAGCAAATTTAAATCACTCTGGAATTTGGGAAAAAAAAAAAAAACAGGGGTTTTCAAAACATTTAGGGAAACTCCAGATGGGAAAACAAGTAAAAGTTGCAAAATGACATTTAGTCTTTCAAATCTTCATTTTAAACTGTAAACAAGGAAAAAAGTACAAGTAGCTTATAACTGTACTTATAATATAGAATGAATATGACTGTTTTAAAAATATAAAGTAAACTTTAGGGGGACATTACATACATACATACATACATACATACATACATACATACATACATACATACATACATACATACATACATACATACATACAGACAGACAGACAGACAGACAGACAGACAGACAGACAGACAGACA